CTGATCCGTTACCACGTTTTGGCAGGCTTTCGTGGAGCACATCGAGAAAGTACACTCTTCCAACGAATTCAAGGCTGTTGAAAAGGCTGCGCACCCCTTCTTTGGCGCTGTTCGTGACTACGTGTATGGCCGCCCGACGACTTTGGAGAACGCGTGGAACATCTACGACTACGTCAACACTCAACTGATCTACAACCAGAGCTACGCGCACCGTCTTCCTCCCACTCTTGTCGACCAGGCTCGCGGCTTCGCTAACTATCACGAGAATGCTATATTTTCCTCTTCTGAGCCTGGCGGTATTGGTAACTGTACGTTGATCAATGTTGGATGTCGTCTTGAAAGTTGGAGTTGACCACTGTTGGTGTTTAGTGGCTGGTCGCACTATCCTCCACTCGATCCTCGAGTCGCTCGAACGCATCGCTTTCAACAATGACCCCCTCCAGTTCTTGTTGGTCGAAACCTCCTACCAGCCCTTCATTTCCCTCTTCCACATGCTCGAGCTCATCAAGGAGGACCCCGAACTTGCTGGCATTCGTAAGTCTTTATGATTATGTAAGGTTAGAGCGAATACTGATACGCAATTCAGCCAACTACGCTTCTGCCCTCGCGTTTGAGCTCCTCCGCGGACCTCCTCCTGAGGACCGTGACTTCGTGAGGATCAAGTTCAAGAACGGCACCGACAACAACTTCCAGATTTACCACGCTTTCGGCCACAAGGCGGACATCCCCCTCACCGAGTTCATTTACAGGATCGAAGTGGGTCATTTCGTTGCTGTACTCCCAGCCCTTCACTCATTGGCACTTTGCTCCACAGAACTACGCCATCACTTCCCAGAAGCAATGGGCTGCGGCATGCAGCGTTGGCTACCACGACCCCTACCTCCACATTGGCTCCCAGCAAGGTGCTAGCTCGACCGTCTTCGCTGCTTGCGCCGCCATCCTCTTCGTGGGTGTCTTTGCCCTTGCCAAGTACATCAAGCGTTCGCGTGCCAAGAAGCAATACATCCACCTTGCTGACGACGAGGTGAGTTTGGGTTTCGATCATGAGAATTACAACTACGGGACCACCACTGCGAACGTCGACTGGCCTCGACGGGAGTTTGAGCTTTATGACTGATGCTTGGTCCTCTCATGTAGGCCCGTGTCGCCGCTCAACCTGCTGCACCCATGACCGAAAAAGCTCGTCGCCCCCTCTAAGGGTCTACGCTTGGTGTCGAGATGAGTTGGGTGGATGATATGTACATATAACATGGCTTTTCTTCTTCTTCAAAGTCTCGGTTCCCTTGCATTGATTCACATGGATTCTCTTCTCTCGTCTTGTCTCGGTTTTGTCTATTACACGCGTTTGTACATTGTTCAATAGGGACTGGTACCCTGATCATTGGAATCGTGCCTCTGACACGTTTGGACGGCGAGGCTCATGGACACTCCCTCGATCGTTACGTTCAGCCCTGGGCTAAGCTATCCCGCGGCATCCAGACTCTGCCTCGCATGGCAACGCATGGATCCAGCACCAGATTCGCTCTGTAAACTTGAAGATGGGTCACGTCGTGGAGGAATGTGCCCACTGGCAGTACACATGGGGTCAAAGGGAATGAATTATCAGTTGAGGGACTTATCATCCGGCTGAGTCTCACGGAACCTCCAGATTGGTACAGTGTCCATTGAGTTTACACGTAAACTTTTGCTTCTTCTGCAGATTGTTCGATAGGGACTGTGGTGCCGATATCGCTGCTATCGTGCCGCTAACACGATGTACGGATCGTTGGACTTCACTGTCTCGAGGCTCAGCGCTCAGGTTAATTGATCGATAGTCTAGCACTAGCCCAAACTCGCCTGCGACATCCGGGGCTTCCTCACCTCCCAGCCCATGGATCCAGCTTTGAATTATCAAGAATGTCTCTGTTTGTTTTGTAGGAAAAAAGGTCATGTCATAGGGAAATGCCCCCAGTATGCATGGGAATGGGAACCTCGAGACCGGGACGTCAACTCAGACTCGGACGTCGACTCAGACTCTGAGTCCACCCTCCCGCCAGGCGTCGAACGCGAACGCCCATCCCCTCCTTTCAACCCTCTCCCCATCATCGAAGGAGCATTATGTCAGAGGTGCAGTCGATTGGACGCGCTAAGCGGGATCGCGAGTCATCGACCCATCGTACGGGAGGACTTGGACGATGAATTTGGCGAGAGGGTGACCAAGAAGACGAGAAAGATACCCTCTCTTGGTCCCGTTCGATCCCTCCAGCTGCTCTCTACGTGTCCCTTGTGCCGTCTCATTTTCGACATGACCCATCTGACAGACGACGAAATGAAGGTAGTTGGAATTAAAACAGAACTGGTGTTAGTCACAGGATGGACAATTCACCGCCTCGAGCCGGATCTGTATTGGAAAGGGTTGGGGAGAAGAAACGGACCGTACGCAAAGTGCATGTACACATCGGTGACAGCCCAGTGTCATCCAGTTATATATCGGCCACACTGTCTCGTGGAGGAAGCGATGGAGGCAATTGGGCTGATTGAGATCGGAGAGGCCGACGGTCAACCGCATGATGCACCCGCCTTGGGAGTAAGACAAGTGGATCCCCAATCTCCGAACTACCGCATCATCAAGGACTGGCTTCATCGATGCGAAGACTTTCATCACCTCACCTGTCATCCCTTGGTCTCAGATGAACTCAAGCGGATCAAGCTCATCAATGTGGAGACCCGCCAAATCGTCAAGTATCCTCCCGCTGGCTGCGACTACATTGCGCTCAGCTACGTGTGGGGAGATGTGGAGCAACCAAGTTACAAGCTGGGGGAAATATTGCCGACCGTTCCTGCGACTCTCGAAGATGCTATGGTTGTGACTGGTAAACTCGGAAAACAGTATCTCTGGGTGGACTCTTTATGCATATACCAGAATAATAGCGTGGAGAAGGCCACACAGATGGCTTTCATGGGCGCCATCTACAGTGGTGCATGGGCCACAATCATCTGCCTTTCTGGTCAATCTGCTCGGAGCGGACTTCCGCGGGTACGGACGCTGCAAGACGTGATCCCCCAACTGTCTTGCGAGATATGGGGAAAGAGGCTGTTGTCTGTAATGCCTACTCTTCACGACCAGATTTATTGGTCACCCTGGGCGTCCAGAGCGTGGACCTACCAGGAAGGATTGCTTTCTCCACGACGTCTGTTCTTCACCAATCACCAGGTCTATTTCGAGTGCAACTCTGTTCAGTGCTGCGAGTCCCTAGACGACTCCAGCTCCCCATTCAATCTTCAGTCGGAAGAACAGCGGCGGGTAGCACTCGACGAAGTGGTGCAGGACCCGGAGGAGTTAGATATCGTGGGACCTGGGGGTGTCATCGGTCGTGGTGTCCTCAGAGATCCTTTCCGCCCAATTTCTAGAGCTGCGGAAGCACAGGTCGACGTCGACAACCTCGCAAGGTACCTGAGGCTCGTGCACTCGTACACGATGAGAGAGATGTCCCATGATGCTGACTCGCTGAACGCATTCTCTGCCGTGTTGACGCGCCTGGAGGAAAACTATTACAAGCGGGGATTCTTGCAGGGTCTTCCTCTGGACGACCTCCCGAGAGCTCTGTTGTGGTACCATCTTACCCCACCACGTCGTCGGGTCGACTTTCCTGCGTGGTCTTGGGTTGGGTGGGACGGCTGGGTGAACGAGATCGCTGTGAAAGGGGCCAGAGATGACGACAAGGCACTCTTGCCTCCACTGCGTATATGGAAAGCAGGATGCGATGACAGCGCAGAGCTGATATACAATTTCAACCCCACACTCGATGTTATGAAAGAACTAGAAAGGCCTGCGGAGGAAGAAAACGAGTCGCAGGACGGGGGAGATGACGAAAAAAACTCCGACCCCGAGGAAAATTCGGACTCGAGCTTGAGCTCTGGAATTGAGGTGATCAGCGAAGGTATGGTGTCACATAGTGACTCGGATTGGGAACGACAGCTCACAATGGATCCTACTCGGAATCAGGCCCCGATGACGAGGATTTCTATGAAGAAATAAACTTTGAGAATGATCCAGTGTTCCGGTTAGCGAAAACACTACCTGACGAGACTCCAGCGGCACTTCCAAAAATCAACAGAGACGAATTGCTGGTTGAAGGAATTGTTATCCAGCTGAGTCTCATGGAACCTCCGGATTCTTACAGTGACAGTGAGTCGGATGACGAATACAACGAACTGTGCTTCGTTAAACTTGAAGGGCAACCTGAACCACAACGAATGAGGTTTTATGGCCCCAACGTCAGACAGTTGACTAAAAAACGAAGCAATCATCGGAAGGAATTTCTGCTCGTATCTCGGGAGCACACGAGGTCCAAACAGCAAATTTACAACGCTCTGTTGCTCGTCGATCTGGGTGGAGACGTCGCAAGCAGGGTGGCGGTGGCAGACCTGAGACTTGATAACGTGGAGCTCTTGGACAGTTGCAAGCCAGAGAGGAGGTTGTTCAAGCTGAAATAGAGTCTCATTTCCACGTAATTGACGCGTACGACGTGTTTCGATGCAGTAGATACCTGTGATACTGTATTGTCAGGTCACTACTTTACCGGATCTGACGACCATACTAAAGTATGGCAGAGTTACCCTACCGCAACGTGGTTATCCTCTGGTTAGCACGAGCAGAGTAGTACTTGGACGGCTAAATGCTTGCCTGTGACCCCACGAATCATCAAGGATAATCAGCTTGTACTCTCCCTTGGCAAATTTTCAGGGCTATGCACTCTTCTAGGCCGCAGGCACGAGTGCTAGACACACTAAAGTCGATGGAGGGATGATGACACGGATAATCCATGTGGGCAATGGTATCGCCTTTGTGTTCATCCTCGCTATCGATTTCACCAAAGGCCAGCACTTAAAACCTGCGAGCCGACATCGCGACAAAGGCAGACTAGTAATTTGATGTTGAGTTCAAAGCTTCACCTGTAAATGAGCATGCCAAGGAAGTGGGTGATGCATGATACGAACATTTGCGACAAGTTATCGACGGCTCAATGGTCTAGTAGCATGATACGTGCTTCGGGTATTCCCCCACTATTGAGATGGTGAAGATGTACGTGACCCGGGTTCAATTCCCGGTTGAGCCCGATTTTTTTTTCTTCTTGTCACATTTGGCGACCCTCCACAACACACATTGAACACAAAGAATGCTTCGCCGTGGCGCGCCAATTATTAGTGCTACCCGATTCCTTGGCTTGACTACGAAACCCTCTGTTACTCAAACGATCTTGTTCAAGAGGCTGCCATATGGATCATGAATATGATGTCTTGGGCGGGTACATCCCCTCTTTCGTCCAGCATCTCCAAGACACTGGCGCGTGGTTGGGGTTACGGATAGGGTCGCAAGCAAACGAGGGTCAGATCAGCGTAGGAGACGCCGCCAAGGAGGACACTGAAGCACAAACAGACCCCGGCTGGTCGCCCGATGAGCGAGACGCATTTTTCCGCGCCATTTCGGTCCACTCCAGATGGCGTCCAGATCTCATAGCTGCATGCGTCCCCACCAAGTCCGAATGGGATGTATGGATGTACTTGGAGGCGCTGGAAGAGGGCACTGCGATGATGGCCATACAACAAGGTGATGGAGACGGAAACATGGACATGGACGACGGTCTCGTGGACGAACGCCGGGACGTGGAGATGCAAGTCGACCCTGATTCGCGTGCTCACTCGGGCTCTGACGAGGATGCGGACGCGGACTTGGGCGAACCTGCACTGGAAGTCAGTCAGGCCTGGATCGACGCCGAGGAACACATGGCTTCGTGGATCATCGACGAAGAGCATCGCGCATCTGTCGAAGGGGATACTGCCGCGGAGACAGGGGATATGGATGACAAGCCACGAAAACGAAGACGGGGACGGCGCCGTGGCTCGAAAAAAGAACGTGCTCATAGCCTGTCCCAAGGCCGGGGTGTATCCAACAAAGGTTCCCCGCCTCCTGTTCATCGTTCTGCATCACCTGAAGCCACATCGACGTCTACGCGCGATGCTTCCCGAGATGCTTTCACTCCACACGCGCGAAAACGCGAGGCGTTGATGGGTCGTTTAGAGGTCCCACATCTACTGGTTCTGGATAGCATCTTAAGGGAGGGAGGAGAGTCGACGAAGGAACAGAGTAAAAGCCGAGAGGGTTCAGTTACAGCGGCCCTCCTAATAAAGCACGGAGATGACGGAGCACCTCGTGCCCGTGCTATAGACGTGTCAAGCCTATCAGATCGGATCACCGGGCCACAGGAAACGAGAAATGTCCCCGAGTCTTCATCTGACGTGGTGATCGACCCCGTACTGTTGGCCTTATGCGGAGGTCCTGATCCCGCGGGGCGTCAATCCGGTCAAGTAACAAGTGGGAGTACTGCAATATGTTGTGCTCCTACGCATGTTCCTGCTCAGGGCTCGTCTTCGTCGGTCAATGTCTCCTCTCAGCCTACATCGCTTGAGGTATCTTCTCAGCTTGGAATGTTTACGTTCCCGCAAGATAATGCCACTCTCACTAATCCAGACCCAAATGCGAACGCTGAACCAGACCCATCGTTATTCTCTCCTCGTACGCGCCGTCGAATACAGAAGCGACTGTACATGCGCCGAAAAAGAGCATTACTTCGCGGAGATGGCCCAGCATCCGAAGATGTCGTCGACAGAAGCATAGAAAAGCTCAAACCCGGGAAGAAGGCTAAATCAGAGCGGAGTGAAATATCGGTCGTTTCAACACCTGTGCCATGTTCCGAGGCACCTTCCGATGCCGAGGCGGAGTTACCGGAGAACGTACCCAAGAAGAACAAACCAGGCCTGACACTTCCGTACAAACTGAAAGCTCAGTTTGCCGAGTTGGGTGTCGATGCGGGATACCTTCACGGCCAGGGTATGGATTTATTGAACTTGGGTGCACTTGGAAAGTTGATGGGGTGAGTTGTTCTGAGCCTGAGCCGTTTGAATTGTCACTCGAGGATTCGTATCTGTGCTTAGACTATACTCTTCCCTCGAGCATGGCGGGGAAGAAGAAGAGGCAGACGGCTCGGCGATCACAGAGTCCATCGACGCCCAGCTAATTCGACACTTGCAAGCTGCAGTGGTGTCTTTCGTGACGGACATTATGCACAGGGCGATCGTGTGGAGGGAGAGGGAAATAAGGCTGAAACAACGAAGCCGAGCGTGGGGACATGGAGATCAGGTGTGTTCAATATTCCTACTGGTGCGCATTCTCTAACTAGCCCTTAATATAGATCACCATCGGTGCCGTCGAACATGCCGTGGAAGCCATTGGCGCTCGTTATCATAGTCATAAAGCGTATTTGAGGGCGCTTGAAGAAGCACATTATGGTCTTTCTACCGAAGCCTCTTCCACCCCTGCAAATGCTGCCGACGAGCCGAGCCCCAGAGACGCATCCGTTGATCCGGGCGTCGGAGAGGCGGATCTGCTGGGCGAGCCTCCGGGACTCTCGGTTCATCGAGATGTGTACATGCCGCTCATCTGCCCGCCATCTGCAATGGGGACAAGTCCACTGAGTTATCTCACGCGTACGTACGAGCGGGAGGCGAAGAGGACGCGACATGGGACGAGCGCGGAAATTGAGGAGGACGAGCTGATGTCAGACGAGACTGACGAGGAGGCATTGGAAGCAGAACTAAAGGACGAGGACGAGGTGGAGGTACAGGACATGGAGCTGGCAGTGACGCACGAGCAAGCTCTCTGGGATGCGGTGAGGTGGAAATAATTAATTTAGATTAGATAAATAATAATTTTACGTTATGTAATTTAAATCTATAGGGGTCCGTGCGTGGTGAAAATGTCTAATTGTGATGGAAGTAAATGATGCGCTAACGGGGAGGTTATCTGACAAATTGGGCAGATTTTCTTTTGCTTTTTTTCGCTTTCTCACTTGTCCGGCTTGACGAGCTTTGCTGCTTGACGAGCGTCATCCTCGCCGTTGCCCTCGTCTTCCTCGTCGTCTCTCTCCTTCTTCTCGACGTGAGTGTTCCCTCAGTGCTGTTCCCCTCTGCCATATGCGCAACGTGCACCGCCCTCCGATGGTCCGTGGTTCGAGACATACTGACGCCTTCCTTCAACTTGTCTCTAGGGCGTGGGCTCTGATCTCGTCAATCTTGGTCTTGTCCTTAACCCTTTACCAACCTTTTACCTCTATCTATAAGCACAGCACAGTCTTCTCTCCTCTAGTCTCCCTCTACCTGCTTTTTGTGCGTGTTTTTTCTTCTTCGCCCCCCTTTCCAACCAACACACACACTCGTTTGTCTCGAATCGAGAAGTGTTCCAAAAGTTGCTGAAAAATCGCATTTTTGACACTTCGTTCTCCCTTCGCGTTTCATATCTTCCCAGACCACATCCCACACGCTCCCTACCTATCCCCTCTAATTTCTGAGATTGTTCTTTCTCTAACTTTACTCGTTCTCTGTTTCATTATCATTCCTTGAACCTTCTTTCAACGACTTTCCGCCGTTGCCAATTCCCTCTCCATTCCCCTTCCCCTACAATCGGATCCCTATTACTCGACAAACACACAATGGACGACTCCCAAACAGCCTTTGCAAGCCGCTATTCTTACGGTTTTGACCTCGACATGATGAAGGTCTGCACTCTCACCAAACCTCCTTTTGCTTTCCTAACATACACGCCTTTCGCCAGAGGTCTATGGATGCCGTCGGTGGCCCAGATGCCAAAAAAGCTCGCTGGTCTCCTACTTCATTCAATGGCACGCCCTCTTCCAATGGCCTTTCCACACCAGCCAATTCCGGCACTAACGCTTCTAACCGTGACGCCTTCGCCAATTACGGATATGGTCCCCATGCATCGATTTCTCAATCGTTCCAACCTCATTCTTCCCCCGCATTTACGCCCAACGCATTGTATTCTACGCCTTCGCTCAGTATCAACACAGCTGTCAATGGTCAGGGCATGCAAATGGGCGCTCAGATGAGCCCTCACACCGGTGCTGCATTTGCCCAACAGCAACAACATGCAGGGCAAGCAAACGGAGGAAATCCGTACAGCGCGGGTGCTTTTGGTTACGGGATGCTTGGCATGGGCCTCCCAAGCGTGGGGATGTTGGGTGGATTCCCGTATTCGGGCCAGTCGGGCAACTTCGGTCAGGTGTGTATGCTTGTCCGAGATCATTCATGGGCAGTATAAATTAATGTCTGACCGTTACTTTGACGACAGAACTTTGCTCAACAACCTCGTTTGCCTTCGTTGAACGTCAATATTCCGCCTACACCCGGAGCTTACTCCCCCGCTGCACTCTCCGCAGTTATCTCTGGCTCTCCTAATGCGACTGCACGTACTGTTTACATCGGAAACTTGCCTGCGACTGCATCCGTCGACGAACTTCTCAACCTTGTCCACTTCGGGCCTCTCGAGTCTATACGAGTACTTCCGGAGAAATCCTGTGTATTCCTCTCGTTCCTCGATGGTCAAACAGCTGCCTCGTTTCATGCCGACGCGACGATCAAAAGGTTGTCTTTACATGGCCAGGAACTCAAGATAGGGTGGGGCAAGCCCTCTCCCGTTCCGGCGCAAGTGCAGCTTGCGATCCAACAGAGTAACGCGAGTAGAAACGTCTATTTGGGCGGCCTTGATGAAGGAATGACAGAAGAGATGTTAAGGGATGAGCTCGGTCGGTTTGGCCTGATAGATCAAGTCAAGATTGTGAGGGACAAGAATATCGGATTTGTACACTTTTTGAGCATTTCGGTGGCCACCAAGGTATGTGCTGCGTGTATGCGCGATTTCTTGGTCAGCTTGATTCATGGTTTGTTCCTACTTTCAGGTGGTCAATACGCTGCCAACGGAACCGGCTTGGGCAGGCAAGCGTGTCAACTACGGCAAGGACCGATGCGCCTACATCCCCAAATCACAGCAAGCCGCTGCTCAAGCTGCCCAGGCTGCTGCTGCGCAGTCCCTTGTTCAATCTGCTGCCCTTACGCCTAACTCTGCCGTGCCGTTTGGAGCGGTAAGTCCATTTGGTGGCCCATTCTCCCCATACGCAGCGTTTTCTCCAGACGGTATGGGCTTGGCTGCGGGCGCAGGAATGCAGGGACTTAATAGAACTGTGTACCTGGGGAACATTCACCCTGA